CTTCTTTTGGATTGTTTCTTGGAACTCGCCTGTTCGCTTCTATTGGCTGTTCTCCGATCCCTATAAATCCAGGTCAAGTTGTTGTCCACTGGACGGTTGTTGTGTAGTACGACCAGATTAAGGCATCCCTTTATTGTCTGGGTTCAAAAGTGCACGTCGGCCCTCACGTCTCAGATAGCAACTCACTTCCCGTTTCCAGCATTGAGTGGACGTGGACGAGTGCAGCCCCGTTGGAGGGCGCGCAACAGTCGCTATGTTTTAATTTCACATTGGGAACCCTTATTTCTTGACTGTTTTTTTTTTACTGAAGGACAAACAGTTAATTAACTAGCTGTCCACGCGTAGGGTTTGTTCAAAACTGGGCTAAAAAGCCAGACCCGTCTCTTAGAGATGGATCCCTCCCGGCCCAAGCCTTAAGTTGATAGCATCATATCATATTGGGGCGGCCCGTTGCTTTGCCTATCCTGATTCCGTTATTGGAAGCCTGGTAAGGATGACTTATATGGCTCCCTAAACAGGACCTGAGAACAGGGACCACTCGAAATGCGGCTGTCTTACAGGTAAATAGGGTCAAGTTTATGTTTAGGATTAGATTTAAGGTTAAGATTGGTGCTACCTGTGGGGTTTAGGTCAAAGTTAGGGTTATACTCAAGACTTACTGTCGCCGCAACAACCCATGACTTATTTCCATAGAAAGTTCTCCCAAGCGTTCTGCCTCCGGTCTGGTGTTCGACAAGGCTGTGTCCTGTCGCCCATTCTCTACATTATTGACTGACTTTCCGGAAGGGCCCTACATGCTATTGATGGTACGGAGATTGCACCCCGACGCTATCTACCTAACTTAGACTTCACTGAAAATAGCGCTTTTTTAGCCTCAAGCTTTGGTGATGTACAGTCCGTGTTGACACGGATGAATGAGATCGCCACTGCGGTTGTTTCACCCATAATCGCTGGGAAGAATAAATTGTTTTCGAGCTGTATCCCTGGCCAAAAGAAGGCACCCCCGGGGACAATTGGCCTTCAACTTGAAAAAGTAGACAGTTTCAAATACTTCGGGGTGATTCAATGGACCCACTTGTGAAAAATTCGAGGCCTCGGTGGGATTCGAACCCACATCAGTAAAGAAGGCTTTAGTAGACTGTTTGCTGTATTAAAGCCTTCCTTGCTGATGTGGGTTCGAATCCCTCCAAGGCCACGATTTTTTCACAAGTGGATCAATTGAATTATTCAAATCTGCCAACCACCCCTCCCCCTAATAACTTCGGGATAAGACTGCTGCCCAATGGACAGACGACAGTGTCTCCCGAATCGATGCTGCTCTAGGGGTTTTTTGACTCCTAGAAACTTGATACGACATCTTCATTACCATGAAGATCCACATGTAGCCGGCATCTGCCCTGTCAGTCCGGTATTTTTTTAAAGCAGGCTTTGAGGAAATGCAGGATGTCCACAACGTTTTTTGCTTCATCCACAGGGACCTATTAAACAGGTTCCGTATATATCCGCGAGCATGTGAACTCAAAAAGCAATTCTGTACAAAAAGCATGACTTGGTTGCGGTTTTTCTCCATCTCGTACTATGCAGCACGGTCTCACTGCCTATTAGTCTTAACAACTAGCTTACAATCAACGGAAACGATGTGGACGCTCAACTACGCAAGGAAATAACGGGGCCTTTTTAGAGGTAGAAGTACATAGTGGAAATTCTATACTGCGCTTTTCCGCCCTAGTTGGAGGGCACACTAGACTTTACCTGATCTGTAATGTCGACCGACACACAATCCCAGTGTCTATTCACCAGTCAAGAAAGCCCTACGACGGTCAAAACGTGCTGTCTGTATTTTTTTATAGAAGGGCATGCTAATGAAGTTTATAGAGCCAATAGTAGTTAGTTGCTGAAGGTTACTACGACCCTGCATAGTAGGAAATAGTCTTCCCAGCTGATGATTTACCGAATCTAGGAGATCATCCAGGGTAAGGCCTACGCTCTGTTGGGCTTCAGAGACTTCGGCGATCATGCTGCGCAGAAACCACAGTAGTGCGCTGCTGCCGCTGCTTCACTTCTCACTCCTCGACAGACTAGCCTTCTTTTCGCCGCGTGTTCGCGCGCGCTTTTGTGTGTGGGTGTGTGGGTCTACGGTTCCTGCACATGCCCGCTAGTGCCTTAGTACCGATCTGCTCTCCGCAGGGTTTAGGTGGAGGCCACATGCGTGTGTCT